AAAATAACCGAATATTTCGATTAAGGTCAAAATATAATATTTGTAAATCTGACTCAGTGAGTCAGTGCCTCACCAGCCATGAACCTCACCGCACGTCACTGGTATATATATATATATATCAAAATTTAAAAAATGCAGTGTTGTATAATGTAAGTACATCGGCTCCAGATACACTTTTTGTTATATTCCATGGAATGCTCTTAACATCCCGATAGCAATGAATATCTTAAGTGCTTTGACGAAAAATCCATAAATAATGTCATCTGTGGAAGCCGTAGTACTGTAAAAAGCACGACCAATCATTTTAGCCGGCCCGGCTAAAATAACTGGATGGTCTACCTGCCTGTCAGCCTTCCATCTGTGCACAAACTTATCTCGTGCCCTCATTGGTCATGTGCGCGTTCATGTGTGTTGGAGGAGGGGCTCTGTAAGGAAGTGGCAGATTTTCTCCGGTCGTGTATTTTCAAATTCTAGCGATCTCGAGCCGGTTTCTCAAACTTACCTACCCTACCTTTAAGTATGGTACTTAAAGGAGAGGTGTCATGGCCATTTCCACTGATCATAATTCCATTGTTGAGGTATACTAAAATAGATTTATACTGTGCAATTTTCCAAACTCACATTGGTTTCGCATACAGCATCTCTGTAAAGTATGTGTATTCAGCAGTATTCACTCTCTCCACTAAACGGCTCGTTGGAGCTCTTGCCCCCCCCCCTCCCTGTGAGCCTAGTGTGCTCCGATTGGTCAGCTCGGCCACTCTGTTCTGATTAGTCAACCACCAGAGGCTCCGCCCATGTCTAACAGTGCTTTTTTCGGCTCGCTCTCAGCGGAACAACAGTCTTATAATGGCCTCGGTACAGCCGTATATTTTATACGCTAACTAACCGAACTGTACCTACAACTGTTGTTAGAGAAGAGTAAGTTATTTTTACCTGTAATAAACTACTACTGTTTGATGAGAAATCAAATCATGGTTTCCTATATATGAATGATATGTTATAGGAGCAAATCATTCAGGGAAGAAAGGATAGGCCTACTAAGTATTTCCATCAAACTTTATTTTTAGAAATTTACAAAATGAACATGCGTAAATAACACAACAACCTCTGAACATTACAAATATTCGCCTCAATTCAACCTGGAACCTCATACAATAATAGTGTGTGTGTGTGTGTGTGTGTGTGTGTGTGTGTGTGTGTGTGTGTGTGTGTGTGTGTGTGTGTGTGTGTGTGTGTGTGTGTGTGTGTGTGTGTGTGTGTGTGTGTGTGTGTGTGTGTGTGTGTGTGTGTGTGTTTTCGTACAATGTCCCACTGTCTGGCTACCTGCATAAAGTCAAGTGCTCGGCGCAGTTGTCGGCGAAATGTCATTGAAACAGCTCCTTATATCCGTTAGCGCAGCTAGCTAGCACCAGATGCTAACAACAACAACACGTAAGGTGTGCCTCGCTCGCGCCACACACTCCCTCCCGGTCCTCCCGATGGCCAGTCCGGGCCTCCCGGTGAGCGTGGAAGTGTGGTCTGCCACAAGCGGGCGGCAGGAGCGGGGCTGTCAGCATCAGCTTGTTGATGGTATTTTACACTCGATGCGCTCTGAAACTACGGCGGCCGAGGACAAAAAAATACACATGCGTTAATCGCATTAAAATAATTAGTGGCGTTAATTTTTTTTTGCGTTAACGCGTTATTAACGCGTTAACTTGACAGCCCTAGTAAATATATATATATACATTGTATATCATCCATTCCTCCCCTTATAGGCGTTTTCGACATCTTGCCTATCGCAGCTTTGTAAGCGGCTGCCGGGGCTTTTTAGGACGAGGCATCAGAGTGGGTCATCCCGTGTGTGTGTTTCCTGATCTGGCTGGACGAAATCAAATGCAAATCACAAAATATTAGAGAAACTTAGTTGTTTTAGATTCGTTAGTAGTAGTTGTGGTAGGAGTGTGTATCTATCTAATCTATCTATCTAATCAACACAGTTAGCTTGCCAGCTAATATGCTAACCTACGTTTGCTAGTTGTTCAGTGTAATATGCCAATCTACTATGAACAACAGCTGGTCTAGGCCAGCGCCATATAGATAGATCTCTCTATATGGCGCTGGTCTAGGCTAGCAAGAACATGTTTACAATTGCAATCTTATACGGGTAGTCTGCTACGTTCGGTCATTCATTGTAGCTGGCATGAAAACAATGTTTTCCCTAGCATGTCCAGCTCTAGGTAGCCTTGTTGTTTAGCTATGTAGCATACACGCTATGAACGGTAGCTTGGTAGCACACACGCCAGGAACGCCAACTATAATGTACTGACCGTACGGTAAATCACCCGGAGTATACTGTCTATGAGTATTTCGTGTGTGAATGCAGACATTCTCCTGCTATGAGATACATGTATGTAAGGCCATCTGCTGATATTGGAGTTGATATATGGAAATGCTAGCAACTTAGTTAGCCCAGTTAGCACTGTGTCAATGGCTTAGCAGTCTGAAACACGTTTACACATTTAAACAGTCGTGGTAGATACCTTGTTTGGGAGACATTCCTAACGAAATGAAGTGCCAATCACAAAATATTGTTGAAACTTAGTCGTTTTATGTTCGTCAGCTTGCCAGCTGGATTACAATGCTAACCTACGTTTGCTAGTTGTTCAGTGTAATATGCTATACTATACTATACTATGAACAACAGATAGTGGTTCATATTAGGCTATCAAGAACATGTTTACAATTGCAATCTTATACGGGTAGTCTGCTACATTCATTGTAGCTGGCATAACAACAATGTTTTCCCGAGCAAACTCATGTCTAGCTCCGTTGTTTAGCTCGGTAGCATACACGCTAGGAACGCCAGCTATAATGTAATTACGTTTCGCGACTGACCGTACGGTAAATCACCCGGAGTATACTGTCTATGAGTATTTCGTGTGTGAATGCAGACATTCTCCTGCTATGAGATACATGTATGTAAGGCCATCTGCTGATATTAGAGTTGATATATGGAAACGCTAGCAACTTAGTTAGCCCAGTTTGCACTGTGTCAATGGCTTAGCAGTCCGACACACGTTTACACATTTAAACAGTCGTGGTAGATACCTTGTTTGATAAATACACAAATAACAATGCAAACTTACAGGTTGTGTACCCGAATCTTCCCCTGCTCCAAATGGTCCAAACAAACTAGGAATAGCATCGTCCTTCAGTTTCAAATGTATCCGGCCTCAAACTGGGCAATGTTTTGGAAGCTTTCGTCTGTGAAATGCTGCGCACACAGTAACGTTCTTCGAACCTCTGAAGGAACAGTGTTAAAAAGAAATTTCAACCACTGACTTCGTCGTGGTTCTTCCGTCGGTAGGACAAACAGCTCACATTTCTCCTCACATTTCAGGAAACAGGTCCTTGGCATTGGCATGACTGGATCGATTGTGAACTGAACCAGAGCTTCCAACAGTAAATGTTAGGCTGGCAGAGGGTGCGGCCAGCGCCGCTGGGTGTGGCCATAGCTCTTCCGGATTGGTCCATTTTGTTCCGGGTACGGCATGACATCATGCCGTACCCGGAAGAATCAAATGGACAGTGACGTATCTCCAACGAGGCGTTTTGGGGAGGTATTTTCTGTGTTAGAGTTTTACTCGCTACAGGGTGTACTTTGAGGGTTTTGACTCTGCACACCGTTTACATGCATAAAAACCTTCATAACACACAAGGGGACGGGTAATAACTGGAAAAGCATGACACCTCTCCTTTAAGTCCAAATTAAGTTACTTGGAATTTTATAGAATGTTCTTTCTTTGCCACTTTATACTTCTAATTCATTAACATTCAAAGTGAAATAATTACATTTACTTTATTACATTCATTTTACAACTTTAGTTACAAGTTACTTTATAGATTCAGATTTGTACTCACAAAATACATTTTGTATTGTTTTATTTGTTTTATGTTGATCAAACGATCCAACATTATATTTAAGAACAACTAAAACAGTGAGTGTGTTGACAGAAAATTAATTGCCAGCAATAACGTACTATATATAAGTGTTTAAACCATTCACAGTTCAAGTTTCTCAAATGTGAAGATTTGCAGCTTTTCCTTTTAAATATATATACTTTTACTTTTAATACTTTCAGTCCATTTTCCTACTGGAGTATTTGTATAGTGTATTTTATTAATACTTCTAAATTCCTAAAGGATCTGGATACGTCTTCCCGCTCTGCTTTAATGTTAGCTGAAGGCAGGCTGAGATGACAACTGTTGCTATCAGATCTTATTAGCATTAGAGATAGCATGCTAACAAATATTATCTCAGAGAGTTGTTCAAAATCAAAAGTGAAAAATGTTTCATAATCAGGTCCTAAATATGCATTTCCTGCTACTGTGTGTTTGTTTTTTGCTTTTTCAATAGCACGAGATGACTTAAAAATAAAACTGATGCTTGGGTTAACGGGCCCAGGCAAAATGAAAGATCAGTGAAAAAAAAAGAAAGATAGGAAGAATTTTATACAATGTGTACTCTAGAAATGGATTTAAAGATGGAACTGCACTAAATGCATTACAGAGGAGGTCAGAGCCTTCAGATGTGAGACCACGAAGAGAAGTGAGTCGGTCAACGTTAGCAGCATGTAGCAGGATATCAGACTGGTGAATAACTGAGAGCAGCTGAATTTACTGGATGAATAAGCTGATAGAAAACGCCTTCTTTGGATGAAGGGAGGAAATAATACTAAAATAATTGTTCCATCAGAACTAAAAGGTCAGTTGTTGGATACAAATTCAAGCATGCAACTTCAGACTGTAGAGCCAATTCACATTTAAAATAGATTTTTTTGCAGCTCAATTGAAAATATGAACAATCACAAACTTGTAAAACTCCTGCAATTTCTTTGGGAAACCAACATCTGAATATCCTCCATAATGACGAGCCTTTCCATAATGTTTTATTCTTTAACATCCTAGTTGGGTTTCTTGTAAAGCCTGACCAAGTGGTTTGTCTTCTTTCTTTCCAGGCTGGAATGATGCTTGATAATGGAGTAAAGACCACCGAGGCCAACGACAAGGACAAGAGACCCTTCCTGTCTCTGATTGGAGCCAGGTCAGGACTCCTCATCCTATAACAAACTAACAGCATGGTTCAATAGTCAAAAATATGACTTTCCTTATCTTTTCTTAAACACTTTTCCTAACTTTGAAGAAAAACAACGTTAGGTCAAGGAAAGATCTGAAAGAGAACTCATATGCACTTAGGAACAAAGAACCGCAGTTGTAGGAAAGTTCTGCTCCACTCACGGCAGATTTTTTTTCATTCTTCTTTTGTTTATCTAAAGCAACATTATTTATAATGCACGTAGTAGAAAAAGAGTACAGTGACAAACTCCATGCTGTACTTGTGCCTACGTTATGCCCTTTTGTGCATCTGGTCCCCTGACAGCAGCTGAGACCAAGAGTTGATCGATGTGTTGTTTCAAGCTGGACTCTGGGACCTGTAATATTAAAACTAATTGAAAAGTCTACATAACCCACTAGTTTTGCTTGTACCTTGGTCATTAAACCAAACACACACAACAACACACTTAAAGAGTTTAGCCTATTTGAAAAAATGGCACCAGCACTAACAATGGTTGTCTGGTTTGAGGGGAATATATCTGCATTTTTCTTGTTGTTCTGAGTTTGAATCGTTATGCTTTATTGCACCTATTGTCAGTTGCTTTGCAGAAAAGCTAAATATTATGTAATGTAGACAGACATACTTCAGTAAGATTATTTGTCGTTACTCTGCAGCCCTGCGTATTTACAGCACTAACATACGTTTACAATAGATGTAAGATAAGATAAGAAGTACTTTATTGATCCCAATTTGGGAAATGTTTGTGTTGCAGCAGCGTACAAAGACATGGCATGGTCATGGTAAAAACAATCAAATAGCTATCAGTGAACGCTGTCTTTCTCCACTCAGTGTGATGTGTTACATCTTTCAGGTACGGCCCCCACCAGGATGCTGATCCCTTCAAACCCAGGGTCCCGGCTCTGATCCACCACTTTGTGGCCTATAAGAACCAGGACCATGGAGCCTGGCTGAGGGGGGGCGACGTGTGGCTGGACGACTGCCAGTGAGTATGCATGCATTCATATAGTGATATTAACACTGATGAATAACTGAGTGAATAATGTCTGTTGAGTGAAGGTGGTCAACTTTCAATTTAGCTTAATTCTGCAGGGAATCCTCATTATTAGTTTCATATAGCTCAGGTTGTTGTTTGCACATTTAATGACAGATTCCCCCCCATCTAATAAAAGCTATCGCCTATAGACTGAGTGTGTGTGTGTGTGTGTGTGTGTGTGTGTGTGTGTGTGTGTGTGTGTGTGTGTGTGTGTGTGTGTGTGTGTGTGTGTGTGTGTGTGTGTGTGTGTGTTCTCCTCTCGAGACCTCAGACTGTCGCAGTGATAATATTCTCTCCTTCCTGTTTAGATTTGCTGATAATGGCATCGGCCTCACTCTGGCGAGGTAAGACCCCCCCCCCCCACGGTTCATATTTATATGGATAGAAATAATGGGCTTCTGTTTGCATTTGTGGCGTTCCAGGATCCTCTCTCTCTGTCTGTAAGAGTAATTGGAAAACACCTTATAAGGAGGCGTTTAGGGTGCACTGGGAAACAGAGCGCTCTGATGCAGTGTGAAAAGTAATTTAGGGGTGTGATGGTCACAGAGGAGGGAGTTGGTGAGAAGTTTCCGACTGACTTTACAAAGCAGGGAGCCTACATACATGAGAGCAACTTTCCCTCTATGTCATGGCCCCGCCCCTTTCTGGGGGGAAATATCTGCTTCATTGGACTGGGGGTAAATACAGATTTTGTGTTGCTTGCCCATCTTATCAGTATTAAGAAAACTGGGCAATATTTAAATCTATATTGAGCCCAAATATGACGGTTAGTCAACCAACAGTATCATAGAGATCGATGATCGGCGTCAGAATGGTGGCATTGGGTAGTTAACAACACTTATACTGGTTTATCCCTGGCGTATCAGTGTTTTATATGTTAATGCATCATCGACATGCATAAACTTGACTTTTAACATTACAACTATTTACTTTGGCGATTGACATTAACCTCGTTAGCATCAAAACTTTGACCAACGGTGACAGGGGGCAGCGGTTTTTTATTAGCAGCATCTCGTTTATGCAGTGCTTTTAGTAAACGCTGCACATGTTGTCAAGTTGGTGAAGATGTTTCTCCAAATGGAAATGTTTTGGGACGTTGTTACGTGTTTGCCCCCGTACATTAAATATCTGATGTATATAGGACATCAACCTGAAACGGTCTAATTAATAGATCATAGTTCAAGCTTCAGCCAAACTGCAGTGATATCTGGTGTTAGATGGACGTTCTGTCAATTTAATAAAAGTTTGGCCCCAATTTAAGGGAACACTGCAGAAGTCTGTAATGTTCGTTCATTATTCAAAATGGTTTCAGCTCTCAGGTTTCTCATTTTCCAGATCAGCAACTACATCACTAACTGCTGGGATTTAGAAATACCACAGGCCCAGTATACAGTGAGGGGTGTATCAACCACAGAGTGCACTTTTGATTAATGAAATAATAGTTTTACTTTTAATAAATACATCATACTGTAGATGTGTTTGCCCCTACAATAATACATTATTTAATCTACTGCAGTGTCAAGAATAATATGTGTGTGCTTTATTGGCTCATAAAATGAAGTTGTCTTCCAAACATCTTAATTTAAGATGCTCTTAGAAACGGACACAGATTATGGCCACTTGCAGCAGGCGTAAAGTGCACCTAAATTATATATTACAGAAGTGTTTTTTATTGCATCATCGGTTATGTTAGAAAAGAAGAACAGAAAACACACACACACACACACACACACACACACACAAAACAATAACACAGTTAATGAAATCTTGTGTTGGCTGTCCACTGATTTTTTTACATGTGTGGTCCCCATAAACCCTGACAGCACAGTAATAACTATCATTACTTTCCTGGGTTGATAGCACCTCGGCTGCTGTTAACTCGTTTGCACTGATTTTTATTCTCAGTATGAGCAGCCTTTATATATATCTGCTTGCTATGAAAACAGACACAATGAACTTACGTGCTGTAATTAAAACATATATTGGTGTGCTCAACAAGAAACACATTCACAGTTTTTAACACCCTGTCTTTCATAAATAAAAGTGTATCCAACAGTACCTTGGTAAGAGAAAATAACTGAATAAGTAAAGTAATCAAACAGCAGAATTTCACCCAAATAGGCTTAAAATGTCTTCATCGTGATGTTTGAATAATAAAGGACCCTCTCATCTGGCGGACGCTAGCATTTAGGCTGCCACTGATCCTTTAGGTTATGACATTTCATTTAGACTTAAGGCTATAACCAGGCCCATAAAGTTGTCCTTTGTGTCTGCGCATGCATCCTATCTACCTATCTTCAACCCAGTGAAACACTTACAGAATAAGCATCTCAAAATCACTGCTACTACCAATGCTACTATCACTACACACACTGCTGCTGGACACCTGGACACTCTAACCCCCCCTCTCTGTGTGCAGTGGAGGGACGTTCCCAGACGATGACGGCTCTCACCAGCAGGTGATAAACTCTCTGTTTGTGGGTGAGAGTGAGAACCGCGGGATGCCCGTCCCTGACAACAGGATCTGGGGCCCCGGGGGGTCCGACCACAGCGGCAGAACGCTGCCTCGCGGCGTGTAAGTGACACACAGAATATCTTCTTTAGGTTTTATGCTCACAGACTTTGCAGAGTTTGCAGCCACATCAGAGGGCTAAAAGCCGAGCCTGATTTATAAGGTGATACATTTTCAAATGTTGGTTTTCAGCTTGTTGTTTAAACACCCAAAATATTCATAAATGCAGCTTTAAAACGCAATAGACATTAAGGTTACATTAAAGAAATTATACGCGGATTTAGAGACGTCTCTTTCCAAATGTATGTCAATGGGGAGAGTCCTTTTGGGCCCGAATGAAGTCACGGTCTAGAACAGAAGTGTCGTTCCACCATTTGGCCACTATGAAAAATGGCTTCAATAGCTGGCCCACTTCCTGGGGGCTGGGTGTATACAGGCACACCAGTATTTGTCTTATGGTGGTAATGTGTTGGTCCATTATCAGCTCCTGGTTTCAGAGACCTGGTCCTGGTGTATTGGATCATAGATATGCCAGCTGGAATAGTCCCACAGAAACAGATTCTGTCACATGTTAACACCTCAGGCCCATTTCTGATCAATGTTTGTCAAAGGCAAAGAAACTTAAGTAAGTCAAAAATACGATGATTGTTTCCTTGGTCATTTTCAGTGAGAGTACATGGCATCCAATTTAATTTGAGTTTAATTACATTTTAAAAGCCAAATTATTTAATGCCCCAAAGACATTAGGCGGAGTACCAGTTGAAAAGAGACTGTTGTTTGTGAGAGCCAGACATGGCATGCTAGACATCATCCCTTTCCACTTGGCAGAGGGAATGTCCTCTAGTGATATCAGAGACTCCTTTATTGTGTGGGAAAAAGAAAACTCCCTGCTTCATCTTCGGTCTGATATTTTTTGAGGCAAAGAGCTGAACTTGGGCACACCAAGTGCGCCCACGCTGTGCAGGGCTGAACATTAGATGAAGGCCACTGGATAAAAGACTTTCCTAAGCACCCAGGCAGGAAGTCACACTCCTCTTCCCCAGTCCAAAATCCAACACAGTGTGGTCTTTCTGGTTTGTATTAGTTTCTTACTGTAAAACCACTCGACTTTGAATATCTGAACCTCTCTGGCAGAATGCTCACATTGTAAATATGTGCACAACAGACACAACATGAAGGGAGGAGGTACGTCTTACAAAGTGTCGTACAATAGTTTTGGAATGAAATGTACTTTGTGTGTGTGTGTTTCCTCGCAGTGATTTTCCAATCCGAGGCATGCAGATCTACGACGGGCCCATCAACATACAGAACTGTACGTTCCGGAAGTACGTGGCTCTGGATGGACGGCACACCAGCGCCTTCGGCTTCCGGCTCAACAACTCGTGGCAGAGCTGCCCCAACAACAACGTCACTGACATCATCTTTGACCACGTACCTGTGAGTCACCTGCTGCGGGAAAACATCTGGCTGATTAAAGCAGATACATTAGTGGAACACAGATGTTGCTTTGAGATTAATGAAGATAGAAAAACATCTTGCTGATATTAGAGAAGCAAGCTTCAATTTGGCAGCTGGGCTCCAGTCACACTAAAGGTACCCCGAGGAGTTTCTGTCAATGAGAGGCACAAATGTTTTTATGGGTCCTTTTGATTTGTATGAAGCATGTGCATGGATCATACCGGAGGCAACCCTAAACATATCACTACCACCAATTTCACGCTGTCCTGCCTATCGACAGTTGGATGCAGTGTTTAAGAAACATAGCGTCCACACAGACATGGAAGAAGAAGAATGCATGTGTAAAAAATAAAGGATTGAACATTTAAAAAATTAAAATTAAATACATTCAGCACCGACCTCGGGGTCATTTGTTGACCCTGGATTCTTTAAATATTCATAATGTGTTTCATTAAGAAACACTGAATGTTAACACTATTGTTTGTTTACAAGTAACTCCACAGGGCACCTTTACAGGAATTAAAATGTGATATGTAACATTAAGATATTTTGTGTGCAAATGTAATTGTTAGTGGGTTGAAGCAGAAATTATTGATCCGAGGCTCTACGGTCTTCTAACATCTACATATAGTATAGTATAGCGCCGTATATCCTTGGTAGAGGTGGCCCATGTCCTGGGGCTTGGTCCCCATGCTGAGGACCTGGTACCGTTTGCAGGTGTCCTCCCCTCTGTCATCCCCTTTCAGGCACTGGTTAGACCAAAATAATTGACACTGTTGCTATACCGCCCACATTAGGAAATGTTTTCCTCCTTCAGACAGCTCATTTCTGGTTGGAACTGGACCATTAAGACTTTTTGGGTTAATTTCTTCATGGGAAGGCAACCTTTTTTTTTTAAAGTAAGAAACAGAACAAAATGATGAACTGAATGGAGATACATTGAAACTAATCACATTACAGTACAAGTGCAAAACGTATTCAAAATAGATTTAGCTTGTTAATCCCATTCTGGGTCAAATCATTTCACAAACATGAAAAAGGTTCAATCTGAAATCGTGAAAAACTCTTATTTCGTACATTTTGTACAGAAACACATTCATTTAAAGGAGATATGTAATTTATTTCAGAAACACTTTTTGTTATATTCCATGGAATGCTCTTAACATCCCGATAGCAATGAATATCTTAAAAGTGGGGTAGGTAAGTTTGAGAAACCGGCTCGAGATCGCTAGAATTTGAAAAAACACAACCGGAGAAAATCTGCCACTTCCTTATAGAGCCCCTCCTCCAACACACACGAACGCGCACATGACCAATGAGGGCACGAGATAAGTTTGTGCACAGATGGAAGGCTGACAGGCAGGTAGGCCATCCAGTTATTTTAGCCGGGCCGGCTAAAATGATTGGTCGTGCTTTTTACAGTACTACGGCTTCCACAGATGACATTTTGTTATGGATTTTTTGTCAAACCACTTAAGATATTCATTGCTATCGGGATGTTAAGAGCATTCCATGGAATATAACAAAAAGTGTATCTCGAGCCGGTTTCTCAAACTTACCTGCCCCACCTTTAAGTGCTTTGACAATAAATACATAACAAAAATTCATCTGTGGAAGCCGTAGTACTGTAAAAAGCACGACCAATCATTTTAGCCGGCCCGGCTAAAATAACTGGATGGCCTACCTGCCTGTCAGCCTTCCATCGGTGCACAAACTTATCTCGTGCCCTCATTGGTCATGTGCGCGTTCGTGTGTGTTGGAGGAGGGGCTCTGTAAGGAAGTCTGAAGGAAGTGGCAGATTTTTTCCGTTTGTGTACTTTCAAATCCTAGCGCACTCGAGCTGGTTTCTCCAAAATTACATACCCCACCTTTAATGCAATTGATGAAATTAATTGAGGCACTCTGAACTCCAGCTTCCATCCAATTTACTACATGTGTAAGAATCAGATTAAGTGTTGTGTGTGAAAATTGAAATAGGGAGCCATAGATGTGTTTTTAAGCCTTTCCATCTCTGTAAGAGTATAAAGTGGAGTGAAGTCAGTTTGTTCAGGCTTTTATATTGGATAGAAATGGTCATGAACACATGAATACTCAGTATGGGCAGCTCCTAATGACTCCTGTCGCTCCGGCCCTCTGTAGATCACGTCTCGGGTGTTCTTTGGGGAGCCGGGCCCCTGGTTCAACAAGATGCAGATGGACGGGGACAAGACCACCATCTTCCACGACATGGACGGCTCGGTCAGCGAATACCCCGGAGCCTTCCTGGTGAAGGAGGACAACTGGCTGCTGCGGCACCCCGACTGCATCGACGTGCCCGACTGGAAGGCTGCCATCTGCAGCGGCCGCTACGCCCAGGTGGGCCGGCCTCTCACACACACACACACACACACACATACACACACACACACACACACACACACACATACACACACACACACACACACACACACACACACACACACTTATCCTCACAAATCAGGCTTCGCAAACACTAATTTACTTATTTTTACACCCTTTTCAGCAGTCGTTTAATACATTCATTAACAATTAAAGTATTTAGAAAGTCATGAATATGTTGTAATACCCCTTTGTTGAAATTAGATCATTACTTTTTGTTGTGTGTAATTACATTAAAGGTAGGGTAGGTAAGTTTGAGAAACCGGCTCGAGATACACTTTTTGTTATATTCCGTGGAATGCTCTTAACATCCCGATAGCAATGAATATCTTAAGTGCTTTGACAACAAATCCATAAAAAGTGTCATCTGTGGAAGCCGTAGTACTGTAAAAAGTACGACCAATCATTTTAGCCGGCCCGGCTAAAATAACTGGATGGCCTACCTGCCTGTCAGCCTTCCATCTGTGCACAAACTTATCTCGTGCCCTCATTGGTCATGTGCGCGTTCGTGCGTGTTGGAGGAGGGGCTCTGTAAGGAAGTGGCAGATTTTCTCCGGTTGTGTATTTTCAAATTCTAGCGCACTCGATGTTGGCAGTTATCAGGAAAATTAGCAATGCCAGAAGGACTCTTAGACACAGGTGAGGTTTTATTTAGGATTTTTCTAAAATGTAATGTATTGAATGTGTTTTGGGAAATGTGCATGTACTTTCAACCAGAGTTTTAAGAATGTATCTCTTTGTCCTGTACACAGTTCAACACAGGTCATGTTTAGCTTACATACTGGAACCAAGGGGTAACATCTGGCTTATCTCTTTCAAAGCGCCCTCAAACAACTTTAAAAAAGCCCTCTTATTCAAAAGTTGTTTCTTCAACCACTGAAGAGTGAGAAGAATGATGAATTCCACAAATGTGTCAGTAATGTCAGTTATGAAGTCAGCAATATCCATTTTCCACAACAAGTGTCTGGTCATAACAGACTGAGTTTAAACTGGGCCAGGGTGCTGTATTGCTTATGATTTCAACATTTCAATAGTAACAAAAAGTTTGTTTTATTTTCCCTTCAACATATTTTTTCCGTTTGCTACGTTCTCCAAAACTCTAAGGGAACACGGAGGTAACAAAATAAGAGAGGAAACTGAATTGTAAAACCCAAATATGTTCAATAACTCAAAAACAAAAACACACACCAGCCAGCACTAAAGGCAAACTAAGGACACGTTCTTAAAGCCCCTGTCACACTGTCCCGAAATTGACACCAGATGGACACACGAATATGGAATTGTGAATTTCGCACGAAGATGGCCCCGAACTTGGTCAACAGCCGAGCAACAGCCGAAGCAAGTATGATGCCTACAGAAGGCCACACGATGGCACCCGAACCACACACGAAAATATGGTCGTAAACTTTACTGACGATTTAGAATGTATCCAGACTCAACGTAAGAGCTTGTGCCTCTTCGGGGGGTGCTAACATTTAAACATACACTTTATTCTTTACTTTCTCCGTCTTTATATGTAGATTATAAGATATTACTTATCTCCGTCATGTTGTTTCCATAGCAACAACAACTTCCTGTCAACAGCGTAAACTCGCCTTCAAAATAAAAGCATCTAAATAAAACAGGAAGTTAACCTAAATTACATTTAAGACATACAACTGCAACGAAAGTAACAAAAACAACGTCATATCCTTTTCAGTTTCACAGAACACAAATTGGGTTATTTACATAATATGTTTACATGATTTTGTTGTGCAATAAATGCAATCTCGATGTAATCGTACTATAATACGATGGCTACACGACGGCATTGCGAGGGCTTCACGTAGTCGTGTTGCCTTCCTAAGACAATCGGGCAGCTTCTTGTTTCCTTCGTATTGTCTTCGTGAGGCGAAAAATGCCCGATGGCACCGATGATCAGACGAAGATGACACGATATTACAAGATGCCCTCACGAGTGCCTTACGAAGGGCAAAATGGACACACAAATTCAACACGAAAATGAACCTTCGCAAGGTCCTTCGGCAATTTTTTGGCATGCCATAGATTTTGCCACCGCTCACGAAGTTGCTGACGGAGCCTGAGAAACTCAACCGGCGGTCATATGATGGCTTAAGATGCCCTCACGAATGGCCCGATGTTGTTACGATCAGAGCCAAATTTGAACATTTCCTTTATCTTGTGTCCATCTGGTGTCAATTTCGGGACAGTGTGACAGGGGCTTAAGAAGGAAAGAAAGAAGCAATGGTACAATGAGATAATACAATACAACTTCTCACACAGAGTAAGACAAGCACAAACACAATGTTACATGACTTCTTACGACAAAAACTGATTGTGATCTTGACCCATAGAGCACACACTGCATTCTTTAAGCCCCGCCTCCAAATAGCAGTGCCACGGCCGTTCTCGGCTCTGTCGAAAGAATGGAGAGGAACTTGTTATTCTTGTACATTGACCTTCAAAATGCTGCTGTGACGAAACAATTTCCCAACTTGGCATAAGTAAAGTATCTATCTATCTATCTATCTATCTATCTATCTATCTATCTATCTATCTATCTATCCATCCATCCATCTATCTATCTATCTATCTCTCTATCTATCTCTCTATCTATCTATCTATCTAGGACAGAGTGGGGTAAGATGAGCCAATTTGTACTTATGTTTTCATCTAGGCAAGGAAATATTAGATAGAAGTCAAATGAAAACAACAACCTTTACTTCAGGATGTATTCCGTCAATCAAAATGAAAATAATGCATCTATCACAAAGAGCCATGAAAATATGACTTCTCTTGTGGCTTAACTTGCCTCATCCAAAGGGTAAATTGATCCACGTCAAGGGGTAAATTGATCCATCGTGGGTAAATTGACCAACAAACCTTTTCAGGTTAAAACCTGAGTTGTTTGGTACAGGAATGTTGTTTCTGTCTGCTAATTCAAAGCCAGTTCACAGCATTTCTTCATCTATGTTGAACATGAAATGCTTGGCCCTCACCAAGGCAGGTGAGGGAACATTACAATAATTACTATTTTAATCAACCTTATATCTCCATGTTTTTTTTCCTTCAGATCTACGTCCAGACCCGTAACCCTGCCAACCTGAACATGCACATGGTGAAGGATGAGTACCCTGACCGCCCCCTGACTCTAGAGGGCGCTCTGGGCAAGAAGAAGCACTACCAGCAGTTCCAGCCGGTGGTCACGCTGGCCAAAGGCTACACCATCCACTGGGACCAGGCAGCGCCCACTGAGGTCACCATCTGGCTCATCAACTTCAACAGGTCAGTGTACACACACACACACACACACACACACACACACACACACACACACACACACACACACACACACACACACACACACACACACACACACACACACACACACACACACACACACCGACATGTTAACAGCAGGTACTCTCTGTTTGAACAGGTGAGAATCATTTACTTTTGTTTGCCAGCACATATAAATTCAAATTAGCCAAACGGATCATTTTCATTTGCAGTCTCTAGGCAGATAAAAGATCATACAAGCCAATATAACAATCATAACTGTACATGTACAACAATTACAAAGTCTAAATAGCACAACAACCTTTACTAAAATAAAGGGTATTAAACACACGAAAAAGACAGACAAGCCAGATAAACCAATATAAGAAATAACATATGGCACGTAGACTTTAAATTCACTGACCCATATAGGACCGATTGAGAATATGTTTAATTATCATGCAGCCACTGTTGTTTCTCAAATAACCAAATCAATTGGAAGTGTTTCAGTAATATGATTTTTAGCAGGGACAACCAACACTCTTTAACCAGATTTGGCACAGCAGGAGAGTCACTAAACCATTGCTCTAATCTGGGGCGGCTGTGGCGCAGTGGACTAGTGCATTGGTGTTCGGATCAGGGGAGCACAAACCCCACGGCAGTCAGCATATCGTTGTGTCCCTGAGACACTTCACCCCAAATTGCTCCTGTGGGGATTGCTCACAGTATTGAGTATGTAAGTCGCTTTGGATAAAAGCGTCTAACAAGTAACATGTCATGTAATCTAAGATTGAATGTGGGTGATTCTTACAGTATTTTCTGCCAGCAGCTGCTTTATAGTATAAAAACCCCTCCACTTCATGAAATGAAAATGTATACATTAATAATGTTGTGTGCAAACATTTCAAATTTAAATACAAAAGGAAAAAAAAGTTTAATTTTGAAATTATTTCTCACAAAAACCTTTCTAAATAGTAAATTATTAAAAAAGGTTTAGTCAATATACGTTTTTCTGCCTAAAATAGTTGAAATACAACACCACATCCATGGCAATTAACCAATTTTTGCCCGCTATTTAAATTGACTTTGGTTGAAGTTAATACAAATATTCATATTATATATATATATATATATATATATCATTGATGCAGTCTTTCTGAACACTTTTAAAATAAAATACTGCAAATGAAGAATATGTTCAATGTTCTGCACAGATAGTGCCTTAATCTGAATTTGAAAACACGTGGCAACTTTATTAATACAGCAGATGAAAAGATTTGTGGAAGGATAAATTCTTCATGGGCTTCAATGGCTCTCTAGATAAAGGGCGTTTTATGGTTGCTTGTATTATCCTCAGATAGTGGTTTGTTTAAATAAATAGTGACATTTTAATAAATATTGCAAAAAAGGGCTCCAAAAAAGGCATATAACCTGGCCGGCTTAACCAGTCTGTATACATATATATACATACATATATATATATATTAGGGCTGTCAAGTTAACGTGTTAATAACGCGTTAACGCAAAAAAAAATTAACGCCACTAATTATTTTAACGCGATTAACGCATGTGTATTTTTTGTCCTCGGCCGCCGTAGTTTCAGAGCGCATCGAGTGTAAAATACCATCGACAAGCTGATGCTGACAGCCCCGCTCCTGCTGCCCGCTTGTGGCAGACCACACTTCCACGCTCACTGGCAGGCCCGGACTGGCCATCGGGAGGACCGGGAGGGTGTGTGTATGTGTGGCGCGAGCGAGGCACACCTTACGTGTTGTTGTTGTTAGCATCTGGTGCTAGCTAGCTGCGCTAACGATATAAGGAGCTGTTTCAATGACATTTCGCCGACAACTGCGCCGAGCACTTGACTTTATGCAGGTAGCCAGACAGTGGGACATTGTACGAAAAGTCAGCACACTCAGCACGGATAGTGCGCGCAACATGATTGCAGCGTCCAGGCAGCTCCCATTCGAGCATATATGCCTTGAGCTGCACATAGCTCCAACGATCCATCACAGTGTCTCCACATTCTCACACACACACACACACACACACACACACACACACACACACACACACACACACACACACACACACACACACACACACACACACACACAGTATTATTGTATGAGAGAGGTTCCAGGTTGAATTGAGGCGAATATTTGTTATGTTCAGAGGTTGTTGTGTTTAATATTCATGAGAATATTTGTCATTGTTCAAATGATAATAAACAAACATATAAAGCATATTTGTCCACTCATATGTTGATAAGAGTATTAAAAACTTGAAAGATATCCCTCTAAGGTACATTTAGAACAGATAAAAAATGTGCGATTAATTTGCGATTAATCGCGATTAACTATGGACAATCATGCGATTAATCGCGATTAAATATTTTAATCGACTGACAGCCCTAATATATATATACATATATATATGTATATATACAGTGCAATAAGCTTCTTAGTGCAATAGAGTGGCGAAGTCACGCCCATCTACTTCCGGTCCATGGGACCTTATTTCGGAAAAATTATGTATTGAATTCAATGGAGAGAGAAAACTTATCTTTCGATCCCGTTTGAATTGTGCCATGAATTACACATGTTTGTCAATCTTAAAAAATCATTGAAGTGAAAATATATGTATGTAAAAGGAGAATGTATGTGTGTAAGAGTGGACGTTATAAACAAAAACAGACATCAAAACAGGTGGCGCTAGGTAGCTAAAAATGCTAACATGCTTACCTTGGTTCTGTAGTCTCTCCAAAGTGGTCTTCAATGTCATTAAAACGATAAAAACGCTGCTGAAGTTAATCCATAGGTTAATCCAATGTGTCTGTGTCCCTTTGAAATTATTTCTGATAATCCATGAGCATTGAGACTGCTTTTCCGTTTCTAGATGTCAGAGCTAGAGATAGTTTCACTCTAATGCAAAATTACATGCGCAAAGCCCCCACCTTTTTGTTTTACAATGAGTGTGTGTGGGGGACTCCCCCTTTGATTCTATTGGCTCTAACGGTCAGAAAGAGGTGTCAACCATCAAAATCGACCAATGGGTTCCAGAGATATGAAAAGAAAAACATTGCCACCCAAATCACCTCAGAGGTGGAGTGTTTTTGGCTAAATCTCTCTAAAAAGGTCAAATGTCACTTGTTTTGCATCAATCTTGATACAGGGTACTTATTATATGTTGTACTTTGGATTCCTAAAGCTTTTAGTCTACCTTACCATCATCCAAGGGTAGTTTTCACTATAAGTAAAAAATAATTTTTGGACGGACACTATAATTTACAGTTTTTTACTATGTAAAATCTGAATTTTCTTTAAAATAAAAAACATCTATATTGTTCTGACTTTTCTACATCCAACTCACAGGTTTATCATTACTTTGAGAATAAAGATTATTAATTTAACCCTTTTAGAAGGGAAGATATGGTCATTTGTTCTGGGAATGTCATTTTCGAGCCTGAGACCAGAAAAACAGGCTCAGGGCTTAACAGGTTAATCTGATTCTGTGCAAAAACTAATAATGCACCAAAATCAATGTTGTTGCTAATCTTTGACATATCCAAGACTGTGATGAAAAAAAAAAGCCAACCCCCCAACATTTATTATATGGAAAATAACTGCCTTTTTGTGCACGTTTTTCATAGAAAACGCAAATTCATGTTTTCAAACTGGCAGTTAAAGGGTTAAAATCCTGAATGATCGGTTATGAAAGTACAGTATGAAGGTAGATATGGTGCAAAATGCGAGAGCGTGTAAAACCTGATGTGAGCACTTGCAGAAAAAAAATCTGAGCTTGTGTGCATACATTTACACTTGTATAAAATATCCACGTGAACCAAATTTGAAGTCACAGAAAGAAAAAAAAGTTTTGTAGCTTGTAGAAAAAAAATGAACTTAGTGATGAAATGTTCACTTGCAGAAAAATATATATATTTTTAAATATATTTTCCATTACAACTTGGTTATTACAACCTCTTAAATCAGTCATTACAACGTCACGAATCTGCTCTGTGGCAGTATAAATCGACGAATCTGCGGCCTTGACTTTTGCTACACTTCTTGCGATGAATGTGTCGCCTGTAGATGTGGGGGGAGAGAGGGGGGTTGGAGCGAAGGGGCGGAGCTATCAGAACGACGAGGCTCTCGGGTCAGTCACACACAAGTGACTACTGTTGCCCCTTTCACACCAACGCAGCTCCCGTTCTAGCTCCGTGCTTCGCTCACAACAACAACAATGGGGGACTGCGTCGGGTCGATGATCGTGTTACTTTTAATCATACGAAGCCAGATTAAATTAAATAACGACTTCTCCAACCTTATACTTTTCTCCAGAGTGCCATGGTTTATTGTTTATGAATGTGTTACAGCGGCATTTACCGACCGCTGCAGTGCTGCTCTTCCACCGGAGTTTATTCTCCCGTTAGCTCCGGGTTAGCTCACACGGCTCTAAAGTATTCACTGTCTGACTGTCACACAAGCAGCTGATAAATATCCCCAGTTCCCCTTAAGTGAATGTGTGTCAGTCTGAATTGACGCTGTTTGGCATCACAACGCTGTTATGAAAGTTTCTCTGGTATAAAATGGGTGATGTTAGCATAGCAACCAAAGCTAAACTGACTATATTGACTAGGCTACTTGTAGCTTGTTGCTATAACTTGTGGCATAGGCCTAAGCTGTTTTCTACAGGCACATTTTACCGGCGTATTTTTCATTATGATTCTACTTGTGATAGTCGGACATGACAACCGACGTAAGCGTGACGTAGGCTATGCGGTTCTTGCTTCTAGACCTTTATATATACAGTCTATGTTCTAGACCGACACTTTTTTCGAGCTTGGTAAGAACTGGTTTTCGTGGAAAAGAGCCGTCTCCGCTGCGGCGTGAACAGGAAAAACCGGTGCTTATCAGGCACAAGCTCCGGACCGGCTCTGGAACGGCGTTGGTGTGAAAGGGGCAACATGCAGGGCCCCGCAGTCATCCGGTTCAACCTGACATGGCTGTGACTGACCCGAGTTTGCGCCTCGTCGTTCTGATAGCTCCGCCCCTTCGCTCCAACCCCCCTCCCTCCCCCCACATCTACAGGTGAAAATTACTTTAGCGACACATTCATCGCAAGAAGTGTAGCAAAAGTCAAGGCCGCAGATTTGTCGATTTATACTGCCACAGAGCAGATTCGTGAAGTTGTAATGACTGATTTGAGAGGTTGTAATAACCAAGTTGCAGTTGTAATGGAAAATATATTTAAAAATATATATATTTTTCTGCAAGTGAACATTTCATCACAAAGTTCATTTTTTTCTACAAGCTACAAAACTTTTTTTTTCTTCTGTGACTTCAAATGTGGTTCACAGATACATGGATATTTTATACAAGTGTAAATGTATGCACACAAGCTCAGATTTCTTTTCTGCAAGTGCTCACATCAGGTTTTACACGCTCTCGCATTTTGCACCATATCTACCTTCATAGTACAGCAACATACTGGCATTCATCTTCTTTACAAATATAATGATGTTATTAATATGCGTAATATAGCAACTAACACATATCATATAATGAGATTCAGTTTTAAATAGCATAACGTGAACAACTAAAAATTGTATCTAAGAACAGTACTCGAGTAAATGTCCCCCACTGTATGGTGTGTCCTAACAGATTATTATCCAGAAAGACTACAGACAGAGGGAGACATACATGTTATTGTGAAAGATTACATGGGAAGTCAACTGTCAACATTAATTTGGTTTTGGAAAATGATTCCTCCTAAATGCTTTCTGCAAATGCTCCTGATGTCCCTCAGAGACTTCATGGTGAGGGCAGTAAACGGATGAGGGCCCTCAGCTCATTCCTGTCACTCTGCTATTTACCAAGAGTCACCACAGAATGTGGAGCGCCTCGCGGTGCGCTCCGCCCTTCAGAGGGTGTTTGCAGTGAAGCCCGAAGCTACTTTAACTGCATGAAAGCCAGTTGTCATCTCAAGCATGGCAGCTATTCCCCGTGGCCTGAGTCCCCCCCCCCTTAGTGTGGAGCCAGTTTATTTCAATGGATGGTGCACACACCAATGGCCCCATCTACAGGTCACAGAGGAAAACTGCATGAGTGGCTGTTTCTATAAAGCAGGGGTCTCAAACTCCTTTTAGTTCAGGGGCCACATACATCTGAAGTGGGCCGGACCAGTAAAATAATAGCATTATAACCTATAAATAACAACAACTTGCAATTTGCCACCCATTCACATGAACATAAGTTACGCTTCCATATTTTCACACCACATATTTGAATGCCATTTCACCCCAGCTGTGCCCTATATTTCATTATCACTTACTTGAGCAGTTATTTTGATCATCAATCTACTTTTTGTTAAGCCAACGGAAAAAAAATCCCAAAATATATTCAGTTAACTATATATTTAGCAGACAAGCTAAAGCCATAGTATCTTTTTTTCATTATAAGTTGTTGAAACAAATATTTATTAAAATATTATTTACTTTATATGTTTTGATTAACTAATTTGTTCAGCTCTGTTCCCCTGATTAAATAAAGGTAGAAATAATAATAACAGTGTGTGTTGTTTGCTCGATGTGAAAAGAGGATTTGCTGTGAAATCAAATCCGTACTCTGTTTGGGATGTTTCAGGAATGACTGGATCAACATTGGCCTCTGTTACCCACAAGGCACCACTTTCACCGTCATCGCCGACATCCACAACCGCCTGACCAAGCAGACCCGCAAGACCGGCGTCTTCATGAGGACCACGCAGATGGACAAGGTCAACCACTCCCAGCTGGCCCGAGGCTACTACTACTGGGAGGAGGACACTGGGTCAGACACACACACACACACACACACACACACACACACACACACACACACACACACACACACACACACCAGGCCCGAAAACTGTTGGTGGCCCATGCCATTGGTGTGCTCCCTGTTATCGGGCCTCACTTAGTATCAAATACAAATACACACACACAGAAACACAAACAAACACAACACTACATTAGTTTACCTCACACAAGAAAACATTACTTATAACACTATTATAAACCATTATACATTTTATGTATTAGGGAATTGTCTTCTAATGAAGACTTAGTTTTCATGTAACTATAAGATATTTGCTGAGAATGATGTGTGGAGATTTATATTTATGAGATACGTATGTTTTTATGATTATTCAAAAGTTGATACGTGTTTATAACAAAGCTTTCCTGTGTGTTGCAGCCTGCTCTTCCTGAAGGTGAAGGCTCACAACGAGAGGGAGCAGTTTGCCTTCTGCTCTGCAAAGGGCTGTGAGAGGGTGAAGATCACCGCCGTCATCCCCAAAGGCAGCCCCCCCAGCAACTGCATGGCCCAGGCCTACCCCCGACACGCTGAGATGCCCGTTGTGGATGTGCCCATGCCCAGAAAGATACCTAATGCCAGGCTGGTGAGAATATATTTCACATTGCTGTAAATAAAGACAGTTGTAGTGGTGTGTGTGTGTGTGTGTGTGTGTGTGTGTGTGTGTGTGTGTGTGTGTGTGTGTGTGTGTGTGTGTGTGTGTGTGTGTGTGTGTGTGTGTGTGTGTGTGTGTGTGTGTGTGTGTTCATGCCTTCAGAAGAACATCAACCCTTAAAGGCATGCAAAATCAATATTACACCCATATTACACCCTATTGTAGCCATCTTACACCGTAATTACACTGTTATTACGACCATATTACAAATGGACACAGCCTGTCAAATTAATGTATCCCCCAGGATACAGAAACCATTTAAGGGTTAACTAACTCGCATGGTAGTATTGTCTCAATTCTTTTCTGAAAATAAGAAACAAATAACGAAAAAAACAAACAAACAATTGTTTAAAACTTTGTAGGCATGTATATCTGTAGAAATACAATGTAATGAATGCCCATTTTTTGCAACCTTATTTACATCCTCTTCAACTCTACATCCAGCCACTTTCTTGCTGTTGTTTATTTGTGTTGCTACTCAAATCTTAATTTCCCTACAGCAGTCCTTGGAAATGTAAAATCCTTCTCTTAGCTCTGTGATTGAAAGTGTGGTGAGTGAGGTGTGACTTTAAATTGCTTCTGTGAAATGCCAAATGTTGTGCATTAATTCCAACTCTGTTTATTTGCCTGTTTACTCTCAGCAATCACCAGAACACTTCCTGGAAGTCATCCTGGAGTCCTACAGCACTCGGTTCTTCCACATCAAGGAGGACTTTGCCTTTACTGAGGTATAACTTTTTTGTCATACACACAGCACATCAGTAGAGTTACACACACTTTGGTTGAAGACTGCAACCAATGGTTACGGGCTACAGAACAGAAATGCTGACAATGTACAATATTTAGAGAGCATCATAGAGGGACACAATTTCCCTTGTACACCCATGACATGTAGCCACTTCGACATTAATGCAATGTTTAGTTCTGTCCTTATAGATCACACTGTAGTGTAATCGAGTGGATCTGTTGTGACAGGTGAACGGCAAGAAGATGTACCAACCAGAAGACGGGGTGCAGCTGACAGTAATTGACGGGCATGATGGGAAGTTGGTGGAGAACAAAAGCTTCAGGAACTCCATCCTACAGGGCATCCCTGCACAGATAGACAACTATGTCAGCGGACTGAGAGACGGGTAAACACCAGTTTCTGTTCAACTACAATACATTCCGCAGCAGCATTTTCAGTGGTGGACAGTACTTTTACTCAAGTATTGTTTGTAACTTACAAATTGTAAGTGCAAAAAGAGTAACCTGCACTTTACTCCACTACAACTCAATGGGATTTCAAAGAAACCCTCTCTGTCTCTCTTAACCTTTCTTCAGTTCCATCGTCCTCATTACGTCCAAGGGCCGGCTGCTGACCCGAGGACCCTGGACCAAAGTCCTGGAAAGACTTGGAGCAGACAAAAGTATCAAATTGAAAGGTATCTATAACTTTAACAAGGTCTACGGAGATACATTTACTCAGTGGCTACAATGTACGTTAAATACATTGATAAAAACATGTAGCATTTTCAACAGAAACACAGCTGATGGCCCTGTTGTTTTATTGGTTGCATTTTAACCAGGTCCAAATATTACTATTTGAATATTATTAATCGTCAGCAGTTGTAAAAGGAGACAACCTGGCCGCCAAAACTGTCTTTGTTGAATTACAAGTACACATCCATCAAAAAACTGCAGAACCAAAAGGAAGAAAAATGTGAAAACACCCAACAATCTGAACCCAACGACTCATATCTGATCAAGCAAAAGGACATTCATAGATCAACGCTAAAACACCCTTGCGCCCAGAGGATTTCACTAGCTGTTTTTGTTTTTCCTGCAGATAAAATGGCTTTCGTGGGCTTCAAGGGCTCCTTCCACCCTGACTGGATCCGTATGGAAGTACACTCCGAGCGAGCCAAGATCCATCAGGTGCTGCCCATCCCTGTGGTCCACAAGATGAAGCTATGAGAGTGGGGAGGACAACCAAGAGACTAAGTAGCCCCCAGGAGATACTAAACACAATTCCACCCCCACCACCACCACCTCCTATCCCCCCAGAAATGCACCCACTTACACATACACACTGCCAGCACTGCATAGTCAGTTGCTCCAAGCCATTGTCCAGGATGTGTTTTTATTTTAAGTTTGGCGGTGAGAAAGAATGATATGATTTGGTGTAATGTAAAGGGGATTAAGCTGTCCCAGGGCCAGAGATGAAGTGTGTCAGAGTGGGTAAGAGATTCAGTAGAGGGAGTCAAGGTTCAACACATTCTCTGGCGGCCATATTGTATGCTAACAGCTAAGCTAACAGTGGCACAGAACAGACCAAGGAAGTGCGTTGGCAGTAAAAGGGCATTTTTCGTAGTGTCCAAACGGTGGTACTACATCTGTCGTTTCAGTCTGTGACGTCGTTGACCCAAAAAAAAGTGTTCCAATTGACTTGAACTACCCAGTACAACGACTTGTATAGTCATTATTTACATCATTGAGTCTAGAAGTTATAACATGCGCAAAAATCTGAAGCCAGAGTTATTTTCCCTCTATTCATTTGAATGAGCCGAGAGCGGGTAATCGGAGGCGGCCCTTAAAGACAACTCAAGTAGTCTAGCGGCCAAAGTCGCCGGTCACTCTCTGAATCTCCAGTTGCTCCATTTTGGGCTTAATGCGCCACTGAGCAACTTTAAAAGGAATGAACAGGGTCTTGAATCCGACGGTGTTTCCAGGTCTTTTCATACATCCATGGATTAATAGGTCTGATTGTTTTTCCGTAACATTTACTGTCATTGACATCCCTAATAGAAGTATTTTGTTGACCTTATTTTAGCTTGTGAGCTAAAGTAAAAGATTTGTTCAACATAAAGGTGCACCTTGTAAAACTTTGATATAGAAACATAAACAGTCCTCTAAAAGACTTCACTATTGATTTACCCCAGCAGTCTGACATCTACAGCCACATGTTGATACCCTGTGGTGTGGTACTGTTAGAAAGAGCTGTTTGGTGATGTATATGGTCGAGCTTTGCATGAAATGATCTAGTTCCTACAATGTGTTGTTTCGAACCTGTCTAAATGCAAAATGGAAGTCTTTCAGCGGAGGGTGAAGACTTTGCAGAAGGGCGAGATGTGATAGTTTTCAAAGTGTTGATAAACACACACACTTTCGGCCATTCTCTTCTGAAAGGCATTTATTGCCTGGAACAGAACAGAGTGGAAAATGATAAAGTCTCACACCTCTGCAAACACCAAGTCAATCACTGGTTGAATTGGAGGTGATTGTTGGTTGTGGAAAGTCACAAACATAGTCAGCGTGTAGGTAGGGAGATTTACACGGTGTGACCATCAAACCTTTTTACTCCATACTGATGGCACAGTTATACGATGCTGTGAGAAGATAGAAGTAATTGAGGGAAGAATGAAAAAAAAGAGAACTTGAGAGAAATGACAGTGATTGGATGGGTTTATTACATTCCAAATAAGGGAAGACATTGGCAGATATAGGGTATAGTGCTCAACGAGAGATTGAGTTTTGTGCCCATTTAAAAGGAGCAAAATAGGCCAGATGCCCCTTCCTCGACCACATCCTTCAGCTTTTCATGGTAATCAAGAAGATTTAGCAGGCCTGATGGGAGGTAGAAAGGGAAAACCCCAAACGCAAAGTGAGGCCTTTAAATGCAGGACTTTGACTTGAGTATTTCTAAAACTGTGGTATAACTACTTTTACCGAAGTAAAAGAGCTGAGTATAATGTCTCGTAAAATAATAGTTGTATAATTGAGGTTTTATTAGAGGCGGGGAAGATAACCTACATCAACAACAACAAAAATATTCGATTATTCACATTTATTCATTTATGTTGATCATTTAACAACAAATATTTCCAAGAGTCTGTTTCCAGCCTGGTTGTTTGATACTTGTTGAATGACTGGCTGATTCTCCAATAGACCGCCAGTTGCTTAGCGTTTTTATGATGCGACTGCAAGCCTGTATATGAGCAGAGGGAGCAATGCTACGAGCGTGAGCTAGCTAATCTAACGCATGTATAGAGTTTGTACTTCAGCGAGCATCTTCCCATGCAGGGACTCTGTGGTGTGGAGTGTTTCTTTGCTTGGTTATATGCCTGCTTTGTTTGACAAAACTGTTAAAAGAGAGAAAAGAGAAGAAGAAGAAACAAAAAGAGAAACGTTACGTGTTTTGCATCCAGACCCGTGGTTGTTTACCTGCTCTGTTTCATTCTGAGCACTTGATATTGTGATGTTCTCCTCCAATGTTTTTTCTATATCTGTGTTTGTGATCCATCCATCTGTGGAGTGAACCAGCAAGAAGTCCATCAAAATATAAAAGATTAAATCAAATGTTAAGTCAAGGAATGTTTAAATGTGCAATTTCCTCTTCAAAATTACAAAGAGACCTTTCTTTCAATTTGGCGGTAAAAAAAAATCCCCTCCCCATGCCGAAATAGCTGGTCTTTTTTCGGATGTCGTCACAGTAATTTAGTGTTTTGTATGTTTAATGTGTTTTTAAAAATCCACAGATTGCTAAGAGTTATATTTTATACTTATTTATTGTACAGACACAGTGTATCCAATCTACAAGGGCCAGCTTTTATTTGATGAACATACCTGCATTTGGTTTCATACTGTCCTGTACAGTGTATGTAAGAAACCATATAGGTCCATTTAAAGGTTTGTGGCAGACACTCATACTGCATACAGGAATATGACACTTAGTATAGTTGGCTTCTTCTCACTGTTCACCTGGATGTGTTGTATATGTGGCTTGGGCTTGTAAAGTAATGAAGCTCCATGAATTTGAATTTCTTTCAGGACTTTTGTACAGAAATAAATGATGTTTGTCTGAATGACGCTGTGTCTGCACATGTATTTGTCCAAAACAAAAGCAAAATACCACAGTGTCTTCTTGAAAAAAGTGTAATATGTGTATCATGTTTCCTACTCTCAGCAGCAGGTGGGGGTAAATCACAGATCAGAAGGACCAGGGACTATTTGCTCACTGCATTACACATAATACTGCAAAGCACACAGCAAAACAAACAAGAAAATGGGAAGGTTGTAAACTGTACTGTGGGCTGCTGTATTTACAAAGCCATGTTGGATAAACTACCATCTTATATCTGCTCCCTGATCTCTCGGCGAATTGAAAGTAGTTATTGCCTGAGATCTCATGCTGTGGTTTTATTAAATGTGCCAAGTGCTAGGACTGTTTTAGGGAAGAAATCTTTTAGATGTGCAGCTCCACTAACTTGGAACAGTCTGCAAAAAGAATGGAAAATTACCAATCTGGTACCACTACATGTTTTTAAAGCTCGGTTGGATGCTACACAATCAGATGCTGTTGGTACCTGTACATGTGGATAGATATGTAAATTGTAATCCCTGTAATTGTTGCTGTATGATGTCCTTTTGTTGTTCTGTTGTTTATGTTTTTATGTCTTCATGTGGAACCTACTGCTGCAGGTCTCCCTTGAAAAAGAGATCAATGATCTCAATGGGATTTCACCTGGATAAATAAAGGTTTTGAATTGAATTGAATTGAAACAACTTAAAAAACTGATTTCAGCCCCCACTTCAAACAGTCAGTAATCCACCATCATGAAATCCGTCAAATAAAATGTTCTGTAATTTCTCATTCAGCTGTTTAGGTTATGTGAACAATATGTCATTTTGTTACTATAGGAACAGGTCTTCTTGAATAATTAAAATAAGAAAATCAATATAAGTAAAAAGCAGAGGTCGTAGAAGTACTCAGATCTTGTACTTAAAGGGGACCTATCATGCAAAATGCACTGTTGTACGTCTTTTATACATGAATATGTGTCCCCGGTGTGTCAGGGAACTCACCAAGTGTCAGAAAACACAACCCTCTCTCTTTTCCTCCATACCCAAATCTCTAAAAATGGGGCTGCAACGGAGCTGATACAGATTTGAAATTGTTCTGATGTCAGAAACAGGGAGCTCCGCCTATATGGCCAACTCTCCACCTATCAGGGGAATGTGGGGTTGGGCCACAGCCACGGCCATTGCCGCTCGAAAGCGCTGGAGACGCTGTAGTACATATGCCAGGCCTGTAAGTGGCGCTTTAGTCTGCCTCAAAAGCAGCGAAGAAGACTTCTCACAGAATCAGCCCTTGCAAAAACAGGGCTGGAAAAGAGCAAATAGAGCGAAATGAGGCATGGCTAAAATGCATGATCTGTTTGGTATTTTGAAAAAAAAACTTCACAGACATGTTTTATATAGGTATGGCCCTACAATATATTATTCAAATATAGCATGATAGGTCCACTTTAAGTAGAAGGACCAGAGTGTAAAGTCAAAGTCCTACATTCAAAAAGTTACTCAAGTAAAAGTAGAAAAGTATTATCATCAAAATATAGTGAAAGTAGCGACAGTAAAAGTAGTCATTGTGCAGATTGGTCCTTTTCAGAATAATATGATATGTTTTATAATGATTGATCATGAAAGTGTTCTCAAAGCTGGTGAAGGTGCAGCTAGTTTGAATGACTTTGTATACTGCAGGGTAGCTTTAGTTCCAGGTGGAACTAAAGTCTGATTTAACACTTGATTATATTTCACATCATTCATCCACATCTGTAAAGTAACTAAAGGTATTAAATACATGTAGTGGAGTAAAAGTACACAATTTACCTCTGAACTGTAGTGGAGTAGAAGTACAAAGTAGCAAGAAATGGAAATTAGTACAAGTATCTCAACATTTTACTTAAGTGTAGTACTTGAGTAAATGTACTTAGTTACTTCCCCCCTGTGGTAAAAAGCACTGAGCATGGTTCCCAAGAACAACGCTGTGTGTGGATACTGCAATTATCATGCTACAACCTGCTCCTGCAGAGACGCTACACCACCCAGAGGAAAGGTCCAGTCCTGACCCACTGCTTGTCTCCCTGGCTGATCTGCCTGTAGGTGACCATCTGGTCAGCAGCTCAATGGTTTTCAACCTATAAGTTATCCCACAACACACTGCTCCTTGACTACCTTCACTATCTGCCCAAATCCACTTCAAACCTTTTTTTTTTAAGAGTTTAGCACATTTTAAACGTATGCAATAGTACTTGGTTTGGCTTTTATGAAGTGAATATGCCTGCATTACCACCTAAATAAAATTAAGGTTAAAATTCGACTGGCCAGTAGATTTTCAATACCACTGGCCCAGGAGCAGTCCTTAAACATACTTGTCATGTGGAGCGCTCTGATACCTGGCCCTGGAACAGTGGAGTCCCTAAACAAGCACAAATCTCACATCTGACCTGCTACTTGAATATCATATGTAGATAAGTATATAGCCACTATAACTAGCTACTATATATTTCTATAAACAATTGTTCATAATTGGTTTACTAAAATAATTATATTGTGGTCATTGTTGACGGTGACATTTCTGCTATGAGTTTTATTATTTTTAAAATGCGCTTTCTGCCTTCCTGTGGTTATCAGGAGGTATACATATAATGGCTATGTAATGAGTTATAGTAGCCTATAACATTCATTATCCTGCACTGCTGGGACATTTCCCTATACCGAATATACCTTTATATTTTCTACTCTTCACTTACTTGTCAGCACTGATGTACAGAGCCGAAAAAAGACCTTGTTTATATTGGCATCATATTGAAGCAAACTCCACCTATCAAGCCAGTGTGGCTGAAACGTTCTCTTCTTCTTCTTCTTCTCATACTCCCTGTCACTCTCCTTCGGTGACAGCTCTCTGCCTTTCATCCAATACCGACGTCCGCCTCACAAAATGCTATGTTCTCAGAGATGTTTTAGAATCAGTTGGAGCAAGTATTTTATTACTTTTAAACACCTCTCTTACCTCAGGATGTGTCCCAGCTGCCTTCAAACATGCCGTGGTTAAGCCACTCCTTAAAAAGAAAAATCTCGACCCTTCCATTCTCGCAAATTTTAGGCCCATCTCCCAGCTGCCTTTTTTTATCTAAAGCCCTGGAGCGAGTAGTCTACGCCCAGCTGCAGTCCTTTTTAACCACGCATGGAATCCATGAAAAGTTTCAGTCTGGCTTCAAACCCATGCACAGCACTGAAACAGCTCTTTTAAGAGTTTTTAATGATCTGCTCCTAGCCGCCGACTCAGGTAGCCCAGCTGTCTTGGTGCTGTTAGACCTGACAGCTGCCTTTGACACTGTGGACCATAGCATCCTGTTGTCACGGCTTGAACAGTCCGCAGGCATCACAGGCTCTGCCCTTGCATGGTTCAGGTCCTACCTGACAGACCGTAGCTTCTCGGTACAGCTAGGTGCCTTCTCCTCTGCCAAAGCCCCTCTTACCTGTGGGGTTCCCCAAGGCTCGATTCTGGGCCCCATCCTTTTCCTACTGTACATACTGCCCCTAGGTTCAATACTCACAAAACATAACATTCCCTTCCACTGCTACGCCGACGATGTACAGATATATCTGCCTCTAAAAGCAAATGTCACACACTCACTACAGCAGCTGATGGACTGCTTAGCAGAGATAAAATCCTGGCTGAGCAAAAACTTCCTCAACCTCAACGAGAGCAAGACTGAGGTCATCTTTTTTGGACCCCAACCTCCAGCCTCTCCGGTTGATATTCTGGGCTCTATAAAAAAAAACATCCTCCCCTCGGTCATGAACCTTGGAGTGACATTCACCAGCACTTTTAAATTTGACAAGCAGGTTAGCACAGTAGTAAAATCCTGCTTTTTTAAAATAAGACTATTGGCCAAAACCAAGTCGTATTTATCTTTTAAAGACTTAGAAAGGGTTATTAACGCCTTTGTAACCTCAAGACTGGACTATTGTAACGCTCTGTATGTGGGTATGGACCAGGCCTCAATCAAACGCTTACAGCTAGTCCAAAACGCGGCTGCACGTTTGTTGACTGGTCACAAAAAGCGCGACCACATCACCCCTATTCTGGCCTCACTACACTGGCTTCCAGTTCGGTTCAGAATTGATTTTAAAATCCTTTTATTTGTTTTTAAAGCACTAAATGGGCTGGCTCCGGCCTATATAGCTGAACTGCTCCAGCGCTACACCCCAGCCAGAGCTTTAAGGTCTGCTGACCAGCTGCTGCTGGTAGTGCCCAAGACCAGGCTAAAAACCAGAGGGCACCGAGCCTTCGCAGCAGCTGGCCCCAGGCTCTGGAACACTTTGCCCCTCCATGTGAGGTCGGCCCAGACCCTAGGGGTTTTTAAATCCACATTAAAAACACACTTCTTCTCTCTGGCCTTCTAGTTAGAGCGGAGCACGACTCCTGACTTTTCCGTGTGTTTTATTCTTATTTTGTTTTTTAAGTTATATCTGTTGTAATTTATTGTCGTTTATTGTGTTTTGTAGTAATGTGTTTTTTATTACATGTACAGCACTTTGGCTCGACCAAAAATCGCTTTTAAAATGTGCTTTATAAATAAAACCTGATTTGATTTGATTTGATTTGATGTTGTAGCAGTAACAACAATTTAACAAAACTGCTTGTCAAAATACCAATACCACAGGCCAATGTGAATTTGTGTCTTACTGTTATATTTTTAAGTAATATTTTGATTGGCCCGAGCAGGCAAGTGGAAAGCACGTTCAGCTGGCCCGGGGTGTTTAATCAGTGCCTCCGGGCCAGAGGGCCATTTATAATGTCGAGCTCTGAGATGGAATTGAATGCATCGACATCATTCAGCATAATGCATAAGGAGATGTGTCTTTTGTATCAATGTACTTAAAGTGATATTTAGAAGTGCAATTCACTTATACACCGCAATGGGGAATATGGACAACAGTACAAAAGCTATATTTTTTTATTACCTTAGTATAGAAAACTTTCCCATCAAACTGGAAAAATACGTTTCTTCACAGGCCT